TTTCTTTTCAACCTTAGCTTTTAGTGCTGTGTGAATCTCTGTGAGTTCCTCTCCATTTCAAGTAAACATTAAAATATATACACATATTATTTAGTATGCATACTTTATAAGATAGGTGTTTTTCCCCCCTTCTCTATGTTAGTCTTCCTATTCATATCTTTTTCTTCTCCCGATTATAAATAAATCAATTTTTATTTTTTTTTTTTAAGATTTTTATTTATTTATTTGAGAGAGAGAGTGAGAGAGAGAAAGAGCACAAGAGGGGGGAGCGGGAGAGGGAGAAGCAGACTCCCTGCTGAGCAGGTAGCCCGATGTGGGACTCGATCCAGGGACTCCAGGATCATGACCCGAGCCGAAGGCAGTCACTTAACCAACTGAGCCACCCAGGCGCCCAAATAAATCAATTTTTAAATATTATTTTCTAATTTTAATGAGTAGATGTTTATTCTTAGTCTTTAATTTTTTTTTTAAAGATTTTATTTATTTATTTGTCAGAGAGAGAGCGCGCGAGCACAAGCAGGGGGAATGGCAGGTAGAAGGAGAAGCAGGCTCCCCGCTGAGCAGCGAGCTGACGCGGGACTTGATCTCAGGACCCTGGGATCATGACTGAGCTAAAGCCTGAGCCGAAGGCAGATGCTTAACTGACTGAGCCACCCAGGCGTCCCTCCTAGTCTTTAATTTTAAAAATATAGAGTAAAATATTTAAATTTTTCCTTCCTTAAAAAAAGTCCTTTTGATTTTTTTTAATTAGAAAAAAAAAATTTTTTTTTTTTAAGTAGGCTCCATGCCCAGTGTGTAGAGCCCAATGCGGGGGCTTGAACTCACAACCCTGAGATCAAGACCTGAGCTGAGATTGAGAGTCGGATGCTGAACCAACCAAGCCACCCAGGTGCCCCTGTCCTTTTTACTTTTTTAGTACCATTATTTTATTTTGCTAGTAAGCCAGTCTATCTAAAAGAAAGGTTGCCCAACCATTGTCTATTGATTATTTAGGTTGTTCTACGTCCCTGGCACAGAATCTCTCTTCCTATAACTACTGAGTTCATCTTTCGTTCTTAAAAACTGGATTCAAAATATCTGAGAGAGGTCACTGCTGACATTTGCCACTATTCTCTCTTTTATAATGTTGCTGTTTCTAAAGATTTTATTGTTTTTTCAAGTAAGCTCTGCACCCAACGTGGGGCTCGAACCTATAACCCTGAGATGAAGAGTCATATTCTCCACCAACTGAGCTAGCAAGATGCCCCAAAATGCTGCTGTTCCTGATTTTTTTAAATTTTATTATGTTATGTTAGTCACCATACATTACATCATTATGCTGTTCCTGATTATATTTCCCTTAAAACTCTCTCATCTCTAGCTTCCATAATATTATACTGTACTCATCCTTTTCCTGCTTATCAGACTCCTCTCTTTCGTTTGCCAACGAGTCAATCTTTCTCAGTGTGGCCGTTCCCTAAGGTTTGGCGCCCTGAATGTTCCCTCTCCCTAGACTCTCCCTCACATATTCTCTCGGTGTCAGGTATTACCTCTGTGCTAACGGCTACTGAATCTCTCTCCTTAATTGTGTTCTCTCACCAAAGCTCTGCTGACACAACAGCATTTACTGGATATTTCTAAATGGGTGTTCACAATAACCACAGAGTTAGTAATTCAAAAACAACTTACCATTATTCTTCCCGAATGGGCTCTGCTCTCCAACTTGAATGAATATCAGTCTTTCTGGCTAGGAAGATTAGAATCCCCGTGGCTCATCTTGTTTGTGTCAGAACAGACTACTGGGATGTAGTGTGGCTCTGGATCTGACAAACATAAGTTCAATCCCAGGACCACCATTACTTAACTGTGTGATCTTGGATTAGTCACTTACTCTCTGAGCCCAGCTCCTCATCTGTAAAATGGGGTTAATACTCTCTATCTCACAGGGCTGTGAGGATCAGATCACCTACACTGCACGCAGGACACAGGGGCCAGCACTGGCCCCTCTTTTGTCCGTTCTTCCTGTGAAGGTCTGCCACAGGTCTATGCCAGGTCTAAGTCTTAGTCACACCTGGATTGCTCTAGTAACCTCTCTGCAGTTTGCCTTAAATCGAGCCTCTTGATCCATCCTGCACACTGCTGTCTAAATAATCTCCCTAAGATATGTATTTATCAAATCATGTGCTTATTTTTTTTGAAGATTTATTTATTTATTTGAGAGAGAGAGCAAGTGAGCGGGGGATGGGGAGGCAGAGGGAGAGTCTGAAGCAGATTCCTCACTGAGCACAAAGCTGGATGTAGAGCTCAATCTCACAACCCTAAGATCATGACCTGAGCTGAAACCAAGAGTTGGACGCTTAACCGACTGCAGCAACCAAGTGCCCCCAAATCATATGCTTACTGATAAAATCTTCAACAGGTCTCTACTCTCCAACAATCAAGGCCTGTTCTGCTTTTAAGGCTGTTCAAACTCTACCCCCTTGAACTCATTTCCTATCTCTTCCCATCACTATACTCCGGTTTCTCTTCCAATCATATAGATCTTTTACCTTTTACTATATCTTCCCACCACAAATATGCTCTGGGTAGACTGGCTTCCTCATTGTCCTACACACACACCAAGATCTTTTCCACCATGTGGATGCTCTGGCTGTGTCTTCCCTCTGCTCTCAATTCCCCCTCCTGACCACTGACCGTATTTAAAACCTGTACCAAGGGGCACCTGCGTGGCTCAGTCAGTTAAGCGTCTGCCTTCGGCTCAGGTCATGATCCCAGGGTCCTGGGATCGAGCCCCGCATTGGGCTCCCTGCTCTGCGGGAAGCCTGCTTCTCCCT